AATTTTAATTAATTGATAAAAAACACCCACACTGAACTGTTCAACTGTCCCACTAACTCCTGTGCCTGCCATCCATGACCTGCTCCAATCCTGGCCTCTGTTGCTTCACTGCCACCTCTTTCAGACTCTGTTCTCCAACTATATCAAACAGCTTCTAGTTCCCAGAACATGACAAACTGTTTTTGCCTCTTTCTTTATGCTAATACTGAGGAAACAGTAAATAGACATTTTCCTAGTGGATCCTTTTTTTACATTAATAAACCAACTCCTAAACAACTGTCTCTCTCGGGTCTATCTACAGCTCACTCCAACCGAAATGACCACGCTATCCCTTGGGCCCCATGTACCATGGAAATGTGTCTATCTTAACACACAAAACACTTTAATACCGTATTGGCTTTCCATCTTGTCTTTCTCTACTAGACCAAAAAACCCTAAGGAACAGGGTATTCCAAATCCCAAGCACCTATGTGCTTATATAAAGTCGGACAAAATAAAAATTTAAAGACAGCTCAGCCAACCACCATCCCACAACAAATACACAATACAAGGTGAAAAAAGAAAAAAGAAAAGAAAACCAAGGGTGGAAACCAGACTTAATCTATTTACAATTGTTCCTTTTTTTTTTTTTTGAGGAAGATCAGCCCTGAGCTAACATCCACTGCCCAACTTCCTCTTTTTGCTGAGGAAGGCTGGCCCTGAGCTAACATCCGTGCCCATCTTCTCTACTTTATATGTGGGATGCCTGCCACAGCATGGCCTTGACAAGCTGTGTGTAGGTCCACACCCTGGATCAGAACCAGGGAACCCCAGGCTGCTGAATCGGAATGTGTGAATTTAACTGCTGCGCCACTCCAGACTTAATCTATTTAAATTTTAATCTTAACTCTGCAATTAATTTGGATTTAGTGCTTGAAATGCAAACATCTTTTACTATAAATAAACTGATAATTTATTATTGGCTTGCATCCCAGTACGGTTCAAAAAAAGCATAAATGCAAAACACAATTCACAGAAAAGGTAATGAAAACAGCTCTTTAAATATATGAAAAGATATTCAACCTCACTCAAAACACTGAAATGCAATTAAAGCTACACTAATATACTTTTTCTCAGATTAGATCAAAAAGGCTGATAACACTTTGCGCTGGTGCAAGTGTGGGAGAGCAGATACACTCATTGCTGGTTGCTGTGAAATGTTTACTGACTGATGTAGCCTCTATGGAAGGCAATTCAGCAAAACCCATCAAAAGTCTGAATAGCTCAGTAATTCTACTTCAGGACTTTACCCTACAAATATATCACACATGTATGACAAGATGTGTATGTCATTCCTTACAGCACCATTTGCATTAGCAAAAGATTGGAAATAAAGTAAATATACATCAATACAAGACTGGAAAATACATTGTGGTACATTCATATACCACAAACTATGCAGTCTAGTGAGGAAGAGTTAGGAAGTTTTTTATGTACACACAAAATTATTTCACAGGAATAACGCAAAGTGAAAATGATATACAGAATATATTAACTTTTGCATAAAGGTGGGAAGAGAAAGAGAGCATCTATTTATTTATATATACATAGCATATAGGCATACTATCTTTCTGACAGGATACACAGGAAACTGATTACATTGGAATAGTGGTTCTCTACGAGGAAAGGAAACAGTTGGAGAACAGTTACACACAAATTATATATATTATACATTTCAATTTATCTTACATTTTTTAAACAGGCAGGAAAAAACTTTCACTTAAATATCCTCACTTAGGGGCCAGCCCGGTGGCACAGCAGTTAAGCGTGCACATTCCACTTCAGCAGCCCTGGGTTCACTGGTTCTGATCCCGGGTACGGACATGGCACTGCTTGGCAAGCCACGCTGTGGTAGGCATCCCACATATAAAGCAGAGGAAGATGGGCACCAGTGTTAGCTCAGGGCCAGTCTTCCTCAGCAAAAACAGGAGAATTGGTAGTGGATGTTAGCTCAGGGCTAATCTTACACACACACAAAAAAAACATTATAAAAATGATGTTTAAAAAAATTATTTTTAAATATCAAATTCAAATACTTCAAATACAGAAGATATTCACAACAGAATTCGATATCATAAAATAAACGCATTTTCTATAAATGTTCTATTATGACACCGTAATATATTAAATTTGTGTATAACAAGAAATTCCAAAGAACCAAATTAAAATTTTACTTAGTTCATTCACGTCTTATATCTCTCTGATTCCATCATTGCACAAGAGGAAAGAACTTATGCTGCTACCATGGAATTTTTCAAAAAGCACTAGTAAAATTCCACTGATTAATAAACAAAACACCGGTCCAAAACTAAAGTTACTAGACTGTTTTGCATCAATTCAGTAAATAACAGAGTAAGAAATTCTTCCTTCAGCATTTATGAATAGGAATTGTGGCTAACAGCATAAGAAATTAAGTCCTAGATAGGAAAAAGGCTCTTAATTCTACAAACTTCACACATATGCCAAAAAAGCCTTCAAACCTATTACATGCAAATCAAATTTTATAACCAGCTCATATTTTAAAAAGACTTAGGAGGCTCACTATTCAAAAGAAACTTCCTTCTTTTTTTTAAAAGACTTTTTTAATTTTTCCTTTTTCTCCCCAAAGTCCCCTGGTACATAGTTGTGTATTTCTAGTTGTGGGTCCTTCTAGTTGTGGCATGTGGGATGCCACCTCAGCATGGCCTGATGAACAGTGCCATGTCCATGCCCAGGATCCAAAGCTGCAAAACCCTGGGCCACTGAAGCGGAGCGTGTGAACTTAACCACTCCGCCAGAGGGCGGCCCCCTGATTCCTTTTTGAATGTAAATAAACTCATAACATCAGATTTTTGTCTTTGTTTTCCCTAATGATAAAAACCCTGTTATTATCAACTTGTTCATTAAGCAAGAGGCCATTTTACATATTATTAGCATTATATACTTCAACTTTTACCTTCCAATGAATACTTCTTGCTTTCATCTCTGAAAATGACAATGAGATTTTGCCAAAAAGGACTATCTTATTGCATAGCTCAGGCATATTTTACATGTAAAGATGAAAATGAACAAAGTGAGCCTCTATATATCAAACTTCTGGCGCTGTGACAAAATGGAGGATATATCAGGGCTTTGGTATATTTTTTGAGGCCAACAGTAACAAAACTAGATACAGCAATATGTCCATTCCAATTACAACCTTTTTTTTTTTTTTTTTTTTTTTTTTTTTTACAAATTAGCACCTGAGCTAACATCTGTTGTCAATCTTTTTTTTCCTCTTCTTCTTTTCCCCAAAGCCCCGCAGTACATAGTTGGATATTCTGGTTATAGGTCCTTCTGGTTGTGCTATGTGGGACTCCACCTCAGCATGGCTTGATGAGTGGTGCCAGGTCCTCGCCCAGGATCTGAACCAGCAAAACCCCAGGCCACTGAAGCAGAGCGTGGGAACTTAAAACACTTGGCTGGCCCCAATGACAACTTAATTCAAGTTAATTCACAAAATAATCTTCAGGTATTCTCTTGGGAAAAGCACAATTCAATAAATAAAATCTCAACCATACAACACACCTAATAATAAGAGGGCTCTTCTGCATCTCAGATATGCTTTGTACCTTCAGAATAACCTCATTAATATATAAAAGTCAGATAAATCAACCACCACCAATACTAATGGATAACATAGTTGGTCAAGATCCTAAAAAAACTTCAGATACTATCTGCTCCAGCGATTCTCAACCCTGGTTGCACATTAAAATCACTTCTATGGAATGTAACAAATATGCTGACGTCAAGTTAATCAGAACTGAGAGAGGAGGAGTGCACCCGGTTTTTTTTTAAAGTCTGCAGTGATCCTAATATGAAGCCAGGAATGAGAATTACCAATCGCTCAAATTACAGATGATCCTGAAAGTTTACTCTACAAACCACTGAGATCAGTTCTCCCTTTCAGATCTTTCCACATACAGACAGCGGAAGGGGAAAATGAATTCACCTATTTCAATTGATTTGTTTTTTAATAAATGCATTTTGGAGCGTTTACACATGGTAGAATTCCAAAGTTCAAGCAAAGGGCAATTCATATACCGTGGCGTTAATGCCCAGCTATGCTGCTGTTGGACATTTCTCAAGCCTTAACAGACTGTACTACCAAGAGAGGAGGGGGCAGATCAGCCAGTACTAGATGCCTGATTATTAGAAGTAGAACTACAGTAAAAGCAGACTTTAGAGCCAGTCAATTCTGGCTCTGCCACACAATCCGTTAACCTAAACCTGAGTTTCCTCACCTGTAAAATGGGAACTAACATCTACTTCATAAGTACGTATTAAGCTAAAATACCTAACACAGTACCTGGCGATAATAACGGCTCAATTTAATAAAAATGAGCTAATTAATGCCTGTTGAGCTTAACTAAAAGCGGAAGACCTGGGGAAAGATCAGCCCAGGTCACTCTCACAGGCCCATAAGCGACATTTCACAAGCGTCCCCGTTGGCGATGCCAAGCAGAGGACTGGCATGGATAAAAGACCAGGCAACTTCAGGCCAGCAGGGATGAAGGTCGCGGACGGGATGGCAAAGCTTATAAAGCCGACAGGGGCCCAGAAGCCGGCGCATACCGCCCAAAGCAGCCAGGGCCGCGGTGCTGCCGCCAGACCTCGGGGATGAAGCGAAGGGAGGCCGATGGTGGAGAACAGAGCACGCAAGGTCCCTCACCTTCACCACGGCCGTCCCTCGGCTGCCCTGACGACCACTGTCTAGTCCCGCTCCAGCCTTGTTTACAACCAGGGCAGCCATCCCAGGAGGAGCCGCGCCGCAGAAGCGGCCGTCCCGGGGTTCCACCGAGGGGCGGGGTTGAGCCACCTACCCAGAGGTCTCGGCGCTCGCCACTGGCACACAGGCGCAGTACGACGCGGGGCGCCGGTCGGCCGACCTCTTTGCTCCTCCTCCTGCCTGTCGCTAGCTGTTTGCGCAGCGTTACACATGGCGCTGTATTTTTATTGTTAAGAAGTCTGCAACTGATGGAAAGAATAAAGTTCAGGCAGGAGAAAAAAGATGGCACAAAACAGAAGTAAAGTTTCACGGTGAAACTCCCGCTCCAGTTACGATCTCTTCTCCCGATTTTAAAACGGAAGGGGCGAGGAGAGACTACATCTCCCCGCATGCAATGCGGTTTTGTATAAACTACAAATCCCAGCATGCCACATCGGTATCTTTTACTCTACAGTGTAGGTATTTACGAGGCCGGGTATTGTTACCAAGAAATGGTTTCTTGAAGTCGCGATGTGTGATTGTGGCTGGAAGATAGAGAGGTGTTTTATGTGTAGGGCTCTAAGCGGCAAGAGATGGCTGTGGTAGAAAGAAGCCGTTGGATCCGCAAAGGACGTGGGAAGAAGAAAATTTGAGGCACCACCGGCAAAGAGAAGCCGTCGGGTGCCTGTTTGACAGCCTGTCAAACCCGAACGTGCGCTTTTCTGTTTTCTTCCGGGCTGGGTTGAACCTCTTCAGCTTCCGTAGGCAGTGGGTCGGAAGTGCAGGTCAAAATGGAAGTGAATCCCCCCAAGCAGGAGCACCTGCTGGCTCTGAAAGGTAAACTTTTGCGAACCTGACTCCCCTTAATCTGTTTTCTCCTCTTCTCTCACTAATTCTCGAAGCCTTTGCCGCAAAGACCTGGCCTCTGGGATGTAGGCCTCGTCCTTCTTAAACACTGTCAGTGCTCGTCCTCCTGCTCTGTCCTGTGGCGCCAAGCGGGAGGAAGCAATTTCACCTCTTTGCCTTTTAGGTTTGAGAGCCTCCCACCAGAATGGAATAGATACCTGGTAAATCACTCACTCTGTTATATGCTGCTGCGATCACCAGGCAGATTTTAGCTGCAGAAGCTGACGTCCCCACCCGAACCCGGGGAGAGCTCTGTGAACCAAGATGATTTACGGCGGACATCTAAAGTGGTTTTCCTTTCTGTCTCTTGTCTCTTCATGTGGCACTGAGGAAGTGACCAGGCTTCAGCTTCATCTGTAAAATTGGCCTAGTATCGCGGCGTCAGCAGTGCCAAGGATTTAGGAATACGTAGTACTACAACATATAATTTAGGTTTGTTAAAACTTGCTACGCTTCAAAGTATTGTGTGCATGGGAAAATTCGTGTCAAGTTTCATTTTCTGTACATAGCAAACAATTTTGAGTAAGTTTGATGGTTTAATTAGATCATTATTTAGGGAAAACCAGCAGGGCAGAGTTTTTTTTAGAATTCCTTTCGTTTTCTGAGAACCTTTTATTTGAAATACTTTCAGCTTTATTTCATCTGTTTTCTACTACCACATATGCACTTTTTATTTCTTGGATGCTGTACTTTGTGGTTACTAATACCTTCTTGGACTGAGCTGAGAAAATACTCAATAGACATTTGAATTCAGTTGAATGGCACTTACCTTCCTTGTGGCATCCGTTTTAAGGGACCATTATCCCCACCAGTTATGATGTAGGCATCAAACATTCCAGAAGCTCACCAGTCCCACTTGTAACATAAATTCATATACTGGTAGCTGGGGTTAACAAGACTGTCTCTGACTGTAGAACTAAGAAATTGCAATATTAAGTTATATAGCAATAGGACCTGGAAATTTAGCCTGAGCAAATGAACTGAACTGAAATGGGTTATTCCTAAAGAAAAAGAAAAAAAGGAACTGTCATGTTCTTTAATTCTCAATTCCAGTGATATGGAGGCTAACTGTCATTGGGAATTTTGTTGTTGTCCTTAGTGCCATCAAGTCGATTCTGACTCTCCTTAGCGCCATCAAGTCGATTCTGACTCCTAGTGAACCTGTGTACAGCAGAGCACAACCCTGCCTGGTGTTTTTTGCATCATCCTCTCATGTTCTGGTGCTCTATCAGACAATGCTCTGCTGCTATTCGTAGGGTTTTCCTGGCCAGTTTTTTCGGAAGTGGGTGGCCAGGTCCTTCTTTCTAGTCTACCTTAGTCTGGAAGTTCCGCTGAAACCTCTTCATCCTGAGTGACCTTGCCAGAATTTGAAATACAAGTGGCATAGCTTTCAGCATCACAGTAATACACAGCCCCAACAGTATGACGACTGACAGACGGATAGTGTGGTTCCCTGACCGGGAAATGAACTTGGGCCACTGTGGTGAGAGCACCAAATCCTAACCACTATACCACAAGGGCTGGCTGGGAATTTCTAGTTTTCTATTATTCTTTATTTTCCAAAACAGAAGACACTTGGGAAAGAGTATTTTAGCAGCCTAAAAAGACAAGTGCTTTGAAATTCAGAGATAGTTTAAACTTGATTAAAGCTCTTTGGGACCGTTCTTCCCCATTTCCTAGTTAATCTAGAATTTCACAAGTTTTAATTTTACTGATGTTGGATGCCAAATATATCAATTTATATGTCATTTAAGTTTACTTTCTTATGTATGTAAATATTAAGGAGCTCACAACTTCAGTGTCCCTGGAGTACAACACTGAATAAGCTCAGGCAATGATGAAAGAATTCTCAGACCCCTATCTTACAAGCTGAGAGTGTAAGGAAGAGGGAAGAAAAAATTAAAAGCTTGGTTAGTTCTTGAAAGAATATGCTATTTATATGTAGATCTATATTAAAAATATGGATGTTAAGGATCACAGTCATGTGTGAATTTCAGAATTGTCAAATTTGATAGTCACTGGATATTAACAGTAGGTGAAAGAATCGTTATGAGATTAGTTACATCTGACTCTTCAGAATCAGTGGTCAAGTGAGTACTGTGACATCATGACAGGAGTCCACACTCCTGTCATCCTAGCAATGGAAGAACCTTCATCAAGTAGTTCTCTAATGATTTGGGGAAGAAAGAATTCAACTTCTTATTTTTTTTCTACAGTAGTTAGGATATGGAAGAGCCTGCATTATGGCTCTTGCAGCTTTGGGCCTGGTTAGGAAGCATAACTTGCAGAACCTGAAAGGCTCCATTCTTTTTCTCTCTTTTCTTTTTTTTTCTGAGGAAGATTCTCACTCAGCTAACATCTGTTCCAGTCTTCCTCTATTTTGTATGTGGGTCGCTGCCACAGTATGGTCACCAGTGAGTGGTGTAGGGAACCGAACCCAGGCTGACAAAGTGGAGCACACGGAACTTAACCACTAGGCCACAGGGCCAGCCCCACCGTTCTTGAGCCTAGGTACTATATGCTGGAACTTATTATCAATGACTTAATTGGGGCAATTTGAGGACTTTTGTTTTCTAAGAGAAAAAAAAATAAGGGTCTAGCCTTCTTATTCCTTCTCCAGATTGGAATTCAGGAACCATGGTACTGAGGTCTTGATACTGCTTAAGTGCCCCAATTATGCAGAGCAGACTTTGTCACAAAACCAGTTCCTAGCCTGACCAAAACGCAGTTAAACCATTTTCAAGTTTTTAGTGTTTACTACTGAGAATGAAATAAAATCATTATGTATTCTGTCTATACATTTATTTGGTAAAATTCATTTAAAGTATAAAATGGGGGCCAGCCCTGTGTCCGAGTGGTTGGGTTTGCGCACTCCGCTTTGGCGGCCCAGGGTTTCGCCAGTTCGGATCCTGGGCGAGGACATGGCACCGCTTGTCAGGCCATGCTGAGGCAGCGTCCCACGTGCCGCAGCTGGAAGGACCCACAACTAAAAATATGCAACTGTGTACTGGGGGGATTTGGGGAGAAAAAGGAAAAATAAAATATTTAAAGTATAAGATGATCCATTTTCTTCAAGATAGGTTAAAAATTACAGTGATTTTCATTGTCCTCAATTCAGATAGCTCAAATTTTTAACTATTATTACATTTTTGTTATCTTCATATGGATCTAGTATTTTAAGAATCACTGATTTGCTCTTTGTTTCTGCTGTAGTCTTAAGATTATTACTTAATATATTAATATCAATACTTCCAAAACTCTTATATCTGTTGAGTTAAACATGTTGACTACTACCATTTTTAGGCTGGAAGTGATCTTATAGGGCGTTTAATTCAGATCCCTTATTTTGGTGAGAGAGAAAATTTCCAATTTTGTGGATTACAATTACCAATAGCACTTTGATAAAATATCATGTTGCGATTGATTTTTGATTTTCTTTTTCTTCCTGCCTATTTGTATGTAGGCTGTCCCTACCATATCTTATTCTTTGCAATACTTCCACTTCAGGTCCTGTTTCCCTCTGATTTGGAAAGAGAGACAGTCTTGTCATTGTAAATTACATTCTAGCTCTGAGGAGCTCAGCTGAGAAATTTTATCTTCATTGAGTAACTGGATTACTGCAGAATGACTACAGAAGTAATATTTCATTATCGACCATATGAGAGTGATCCCACACAACTGCCAAAAATTGCAGAGAAAGCAATTCAAGACTTTCCTACACGTCCATTATCGAGATTTATTCCTTGGTTTCTGCATGATGGGTCCAAACTTCCACTCAAACCTAAAAAATCACCACCTGTGATTTCTAAGGAGGCAGCTGAAGATGTGAAACAGTACTTAACCATTTCAGAACGTGATGTTAAATCACAGAGTTATGATTGCACAGTAGATCTATTGGAGTTTCAACCTGATCTGAAAAAAAAGAAGCACTTAATCCGGTCACACACACTGGATGAACAGACTAATTCTGGAAGTCTGGATGAGCAATCAGAAAAAGGAAAATGGTTCAGGAAGAGGTCTTGGAGTGTTTCACTTCCTAGCAGTAATAGTACTGAAAATATTTTTCCTTTGTCCAAAAAATTGCAAGAGAGTTTAAAGGCACTAAATTTGCACTCACTTTATAGAGCAAGATGGACAATAGAACACACTGTCTGTAAGAGCCAGAGTCTGGAAGACATTTGGGCAAAACTCAATCGAATTATCAGGCACAATGAACTTCCGTCTTGTAATGCTACGATTCAGAGACATTTAGGCCAAATATGGGTGTTCTGTGATGTTATGTACTGTGAATATGTGGGAAATCTTCTAAAAGGAAGATTGGCTCTTACTGGGAAAATTGATTTATTTGTGCATAAATATGGTGTTATTTTTAGTATGTAATGAATTCCACTGATTGTCAAAAGAATATTCTCAATGAACTGAGTATGAACTGCAATACTGAAATGAATAAATTTTTTACCAGTTTTAAATTTTTACTGACTTTTTATTTGACGCTTTGCTAATATAGCCAGTTTATTCTTAACATTGTGAAAAATAACGTGTGGTAATAGGTATATGGTTTGTATCCCAGAAGTAAATTACTATCAAGTGAATTCCTAGTCTTGTCAGTTAAGAACTTTCTGGGTTATACTTGTGTCAGCCTTCTTTTAAATAAATTGGAATAAATTATTATTTACAATGAATTTACAGGTAAATGTATTCCTTTCGTTGTGTTACTTTTTCAGTGGTTGACTTAGATATTCCTATGAATCATAGGAAATAGGATTTTGGTGAAGCCCTCAAATCTAACTTTATAGTTTTTTTCTTTACTCACCTAAAGTGTAATGACTTTTTTTAAAAAATAAAACTAAAACCAGTTCTATTGGGAATACTAGGAATACTATTCAAGTGGCATGAATGTAGTTCAAATTGGGAGATCAGTCCAGATTCTG